TTCCAATACCTTCGCAATGTAGTACCTTTTGAAAGATCAAATCCGTAGCAAATGGATGGTGCTTTTCCTTCAGGTGATCCGAACAGTTGGAGTTTACGGCACACTCGTAATCCGAAATTTCTAGGTTACTTAAGAATCAAATTAACTTAGACTATCTAATGTCAAAAATGGAAGGGCTCTTTTCCGCTTCGAGTGTAGTTTTCATGCTTCTCAATTTGCCCCCTTCCCACACCTTCTTATCTAAACAGTATTTCAGTGAGGTTATCGGCCTGTACGGGCATCCACTGGCACTTCACCATGTCATGTTCATTCCAACTCTTCAATCTCAATGCGCTGATGATCAGATGCATTGGCTACAGCAGGCACTATCCAGGCAGATCATCGGTACCTACGCCCAGACGGAGCTGGGCCACGGTGAGTATAAAATCCTGTTTCCAATGCATCGAATAATTTTGCGATGGACGAAGCTTACTCCGAGTGTTTCCACTTACGATTATATGAAGTGTGTGTAGTAAGAATTTGTATATAATGAAGATTTATTGGCATCGAATACATTTGAAGCTCAATGATTGCACTCTGGCACTGAAATTTCAGGTTCAAATCTGAGAAAGCTGGAGACAACAGCCACCTATGACGCGCAGACACAAGAATTCGTGCTTCACAGCCCAACGAGGACAGCAATGAAATGGTATGTTTTGTGCTGCCAGCGTCGCCGAGCAAGGCGCTTTCACGTTCCAGCAGCTCCCTTATCGCCGCTTACTAGACTCTACCCGTCAAGGTTCTTCTTTCTCCCAGAAAATTTGCACGGTTAGCTGGATCCTTTGAGGTGGCAGCTCCATGTTGTGAGGTTGGGGCATTTCGCAAAAGACTCAAAATATCAATCGTAGAATCTGCCACAGGCAGGAAAGTTAGTGCACATTGCCCGGGGTACCTAACTAAGACCGACGTGACATAACATAAAAGCGTCCCAAGAGAGCTCTGGCCTGGAGTTTATGAAGCTGATCTATAGGGATGAGTGGGGAGCAAGGACGTATGAAAAGGTAAATTGCATGGAGTGTGCTGGGAGAAACCTTAGGAGCTTCGAGCTTCGGGCTGCTGGGGATAATGTGGTAGGACGTTCTTTTGGAAAATGTTCAAATCTGATCTCAGTTTCCCGCTTGGATCAAAGTAACCTTGTTGCCCATGAGGCTATTTATCACTTTCACTTTGGTCCATTAAAATACATATTTAATTCGAATTTTTAAAGGTGGCCCGGAAACCTTGGCAAAAGTGCGAACCATGCTGTAGTGGTTGCCTGCCTGATCATCGACGGTAAAAACTTCGGTCCTCACAATTTCATTGTGCCGCTGAGAGATCCTGAAGACACACATGCCTCTTAAAGGTATCACCGCACTCAGTTTTTAAATATAAGCTTAGGTAGGTATTATTTCTCATATCTAGGAATCACTATCGGAGACATTGGCCCAAAAATGGCTACTGGCCCCATCGACAATGGCTTTCTCAGCTTTGATCATTATCGTATTCCAAGAAAGAATATGCTTTGCTTAATAAGGCATCCGCCCAGAGTAAGTCGGTTTCCAATACCTACCTCATTTTAGTGTTTCAAATAAATATTGATTGATTTAGGTAACGCCTGATGGCAAGTATGCTCGTCCACCACATGCTAAGATTGGCTATTCAGCGATGGTGCATGTTCGTGCTTACATGATCTCCGACCAGGGAAGGTTCCTTGCTCAGGCCCTCACCACCGCCATACGATACTCAGCAGTTCGACGTCAGGGAGAGATTAAACCTGGGTAAGTAATATTACGGCATCGAACGTGGACGCTGGACAGGGTCATTTTTAGTGTTAGTTGAAGCGAGCCACCTCGCTTCCCCTCCTCCAATCTTCCCACTCGCCTTATTGTATGTACGCAAAAGCGCTATGACAGTACAGTCAAACAACAGAAATGGATACAGAGGGAAATTCGGGCCAGCTGCATTAGTTGTGGTAATGCATTAGGGAAAGGCAGTATGTGGAAATGCGATTGACTTCAACGCTGACTTTTCATAGCGCGCGGCTCGTTTTGTATACATGAGGGACTTGTAGGAGTCCCCAGGCCTCAACTCTTCAATGGCTTACACGCTAATGTTGATGAAGGGCACCTTACCGAATAGGGCCCGGTGATGTTCTTATGGAACAAGGTGAAAATCAACGAAGGAGTCAGTATTTTTATCGAATGTCCATTTTCAGAGGAGGAGAAGTGAAGATCCTCGAGTACCAAACACAGCAGCATCGCCTCCTGCCACAACTTGCTCGAGCTTTTGCCTTTGTTTTCACTGGACAAGCTGTTAGGGACATATATTTGAGGGTGCGGAAGGATGTCTTGAAAGGAAAAGTAAGTATTTTAGTTGATGCAGAAAAATTACAATTTATCCATTTGTTTATTTATTTATTCGCCTATTTATTTTTTATTTATTTTGTCAGTTATTTATTTATTACTATCCACTCGTAGGTGCGGTGCAATAGCTCAGAAACCAAATCGGTTTTAGGTTCAAGACAACATTGAACCCAAATTTAGCCACGTTGTGCTGTGCCATTAGGAATCCCATCTTAAATAAAAGGTAAAGTATTTGCTGTTTGGACAATCCGCTTTTGGGATGTGGCGCGCATTCTAGCCGTTGGCCTATACAATGACTTGCGGGGGCCAGCCGATGTACAAGTCAGTGTTTTTATCCTCCCAGACAAGTCTGGTACCAATTAACCGACCCCGGAGGGATGGAAGGCTTGGTTGGCCCGGGCGACTCACGACCCAGGATTTGATCCCCGGACCGCTCGCGTGGTAAGCGTGCCACTTGCCACTACACCACTTCCGCCTTTCTCGCAATTACCGTATTAAATATCGTTAATGCTTAATGAGGATAGTAGTATATCAAGGCTTTTCAAATTTAATCCAAACGCACAGGCGTTTCGTGCTATTTGCAAGCCTACAACTGGCATAGATGAAAGGCGACCGCAAAGGTAGAGGTACTCTCGCTGTAAAAGCCTTTCACGTGGTCCCCTTCGGGCTCATGCCCGCTTTGCAGTGCTCCCGACCGTCCCCCGCCAGGGAGTGCGCTGTCCTGCCGCCTCACTTCTCAGTACGCTCTCTGCTCTTGTTCTCTTCTCGGCGCCCACCGTCTCTTCCTCATAACATTGTCCACCTCATCAAGAAATTGGCCCTTTCGGTAGTTTCTCTTGCTTTCCTATTCGAGCTCACTTGAACCCCAATCTTATATTCGAGAGGAGTAATCGCTTTTCAAAGGAATGGGATCGCGCATCTCGTCGAGTATTTCCAAGCTCCAAGCGTTATTTATGAAATTTTTACTTCCAAGCTCAGACAGAACGGCTCTTGCTATATAAACAATTTCACCTAATTTAAGGGATGCTACGGAGCTTGCGACGGATAGCTTCTGAGCGGGCGGAAGTGGTGTAGTGACAAGTGGCGCGCTTACCACGCGAGCGGTCCGGGATCAAATCCTGGGTCGTGAGTCGCCCGGGCCAACCAAGCCTTCCATCCCTCCGGGGTCGGTTAATTGGTACCAGACTTGTCTGGGAGGAAAAAACACTGACTTGAACATCGGCTGGCCCCCGCAAGTCATTGTATAGGCCACATCGCATTCAAAAGCCACTGCGAATGTACAAATGGAAGTAGAATGCGTGCCGCATCCCAAAAAGGGATTGATCAACGGCAAATGCTTTATCCTTTATTTAGCTTGGAGCAAGCCCAGAAGTGAATTCTCTTTCACTGCGATTGTGCCGAAAACCAAGATTCTCAGCTCACCAGGTTCACGACAGCGTAGTAGCTAAAGATTCAGCGTAGTATATCCGAGATCGAAACTTGTCTCCAAATTATCCGAATCTTTCAACCCTACGTGAACGTGAACTGGTGTGGGACCTATAATAAGGTTGAAGCTCTGAAATATTCTGACGCCATCAAACCACTAGTAAAACTTGCGTTGGCGATTCTACTGCAGTTTTCAATAAAGTATGAAGAATTAGGCACTCGTTGTCGATCCTACCCTTTTTGAAATGCGCCATGCATTCGCCTTTCAGAGTAGTTTGTGAGGTCTTTGGAAGCGTTCTGTTCCTATAGTGGCTTGTGAGTGCCGACAGCTTTGAAAGTCAATGTCTCTGTCTCCAAAGCTGGTTATCGGCCCTGAAAAGTCAATGATTCGTCTGGCAAAAGCATGGTCAGCCTCTGAATTGAACTCTTGGCCACAGGCCTGGTATACGATTCAACTTACCACTAAAGCATCTCGGCCCCTGGTCTTTAAGGTTTGATAATCCATAAATAATAATAATAAACTTAATACAACCATCTTACTCAGATTTTATCTTTCCGCATTTGTCTCAAAAAATTTTCCAGCTCCCTTTTTTCAATAGACTGAAATTTCTGGAATAAATGAATGCTATTGATACCAATCTTAACTTTGTTAAGGTGGATGAAATGGCCGAACTGCACTACATAACGTCAGGTCTCAAGGCGGTGGTTACCCATTTAGTCGGTCAAGGTATTGAACAGGCTCGCATGAGCTGTGGTGGCCATGGATATTCGAAAGCTAGCAATATACCGGATCTCTACGGTGAGCGATAACATTAAGTTGAACATTATTTTGAGAAGCAAATGGTCTTTCCTAGGTGTGGCCATTGGTGGTTGCACGTACGAGGGTGAGAATATGGTGATGCTCCAGCAGTTGGCCAGGTTTGTCCATTTGCTTGTAATTTTTTAATTTCATTTTTTGTGCTTACCCAAGCATCAGGACCATTCCTGGCCTGGCGTCAGTGATCCCCAATGCGGCGAAGCTG